CCGGACGGACCGCGGCCGTCCGGAACCGCCGGCCGGACGGTTCAACAGGTTTTCAAAAAATTTTTTAAAAATAGTTCGGCTCAAAAAAAAAAAAAAAATTACCTTGTTGGAGAAGAATCCTTTGCCGAGGCCGTAGAATTTTTTCGACATTTTTTTGGATTTTTTTTTATGCTCGAATCGTTCGTTGAAGTTCGGAAAATTTAGAGAGATAAAGTTTAGAGAGATGAAATCCAAAAAAGGGTTAAGGGCAAAAGAGTAAATGGGGGGGCGGTGACTAGTAAAAGGGGGGCGGTGAATAGCGATTGAGTTATATAAATGGTTTAATATAAGTTTGTTTGAAGGTTTAATTGGGTCTCTTTATAAGTTATGCCTTGCATAACTAAAGAAACAAATATTTGGACAATGCCTTTATGTACAGCTGGGCCCTTATTTTAGTTGGGCCCTGGGCCGTTGCCCATGTCGCCCCAAGAAAGGGCCGGCCCTGTGTGTTCATTTGCCTTACCAACATGCACTTTATAGTGATTCAATTACCCACATATTCAATGAAGGGAAGATCATTTAATATCCTTCATAAATTGATTTAACATTACAAAAAGTCAAACTGAATAGTTATGTCAACAATACATTGAAGACAATTCCTTTACAAAGCAAAACGACGGAAGGAAATGAACATGTCTTCAACTATTTTGCGTGGGACATTTGTCGTTAGAATTTTGTAAAGGAAAATAGAGAATTTAGTGTGCCCTTTACAATTATATTATGAACCATATTTTGTCTCACTATTCCCACCAAAATTTTTTCTCTATTCACATGTAATACTTATCCACAAATTGCTTTCAGTCGTGGTACCTTTCGGTTTGAATCACAACCTAAGCTATCTAACTTCTTTCACCACTGAAACATGGACGGATTTACTGAAAATAGAGAATTTGGTGTGGCCTNAAAAACAATTATTAATATTCAAAACTTTTTTATTTCGTACCTAGCCTGCCCAAGCCTAAGCCCAACCTAATAAATCAACCAATTAATGCAATCATGCTCCTATCTATTTAAGTCCAAAACTCTGAATGCCATTCAAAGCACCACTGTACACCAAACTTGACAGACTCCAAATCTCCAATAAAAAAATGAAAATCAGCAGCGTGTCAACGGCAATGCCCTTCTCCCTCTGAGCTCTGAACAAACAACGAATTTAGAAGAATCTCAAAAAACAAACAAACAAACAAACAAACAAGAAAGAGGCTACTCAAGGTAAATTGTATCTTTAAACCACCTATTAGATGTTTGTTTGTTAGTTCACCGTAATAATTCATATTAGGGAAGACTTGTGTAAGGGCATAGGATATGCGTAGAAAATAGAACCTTGCCAGTTTTTCCATTGATTCATTTCAGAACTTGGAAGTTTCCTTTTCCCCTAATTTGGAATGAACCGCCCCTCGCTTTTCCAAAGAATCCTTTATTTCGGGTTTCAGAAAAAAGGATTCACTTGTCTAATTGCCTTTATTTATCTTTTTATTTACTTGGGCTATTTTGGATTTTAATAGTAATTACTATGATTATTGGTTGCAATTCTTGCTTTTTCTTTTTTTTTTTTATGCTNCACTTCTTTTTTATTTTTCCATGATGGTGTATGAAATAGTAATTGTGTTTTTTTTTATCTCTCTTGGTTTTTTCTTAATCTTAAAAATACATAACAATTTTTCTCTTGATTTTTTCTTAATCTTAAAAATACAAAACAATTGAAAAATATAAGATAAACATAAATTATAAAAGACAACACTTCGTAATAAGATTCGGGATGGTTTTCTCAAAGATTGTTTAATGTTCTTTATCGAACGAGAGTTTTCTATTAGCATAAGTATAAATTTTATTATTCATAAATTTTATTCTCTAAAATCTCATCGAGCACAACACAGTGAATATTTGAAGAAAAATATTATGTGGTTTTTATGAAATTGAGTTTTTAAAATTTTAGCCTAGTCTACTTTTAATTTCTGGATCTGTCATTGCACCGAAATGAATGGATCTAAGTCCTGAATTCATGTTGTGAGTCTAATGACGTTCATTAGTAACAACAACTTATAGGCTATGATATTTGAGGAGTATCAGAATTGCACTTTGAACTTGGTAAACAATGTATGTTCCCAAGTATTACAGAAGCCAGTTAAACATAAAATGAACTTCCACAAGAGAATCTCTCTATCCCTCGGAGCTCTTTCATTAAACAGGTGTTAGGCCAAATATACAAATATGATTTTACAAACAAAGATTCTCTCTTCCTAACCTGCTTTGTACTCCACATATTTAATTACTTTTCTGCGTTGGCGTGTGCTTGGTATGCATGTACGCATCCTTCGGACAGTGAATGGTGCTCGTCCCAAGTACCAAAGAAAATAATACAAAAAGAGGTGCCTCAAATAAGAGTTGAAGAACACACACTCTAATTTGTCTCAATGATCTCTCGATAAGATATCAACAATGCTCACTTCTCTCTAAATTAATTCTTACACAACACTAGAGAAATTTTTACTATATACGAAGGTTATACAAGGTAAGTAGATTTAGCCGCATATTTCCAAAGTTTAGTCACTCATATCCAATTACAAAAGTGAATCTTCTTGCTTCTATGCATGTGTCAAAGTTCATTCCTCCAACAGAGCACAACCTTGCAAATTCCCTCAATTCAAGGTATGGTAAATTCCACCGATTTTGCTTCCTACAATAATAGATAAATCAATTAATACAAGAATGGTAGGAATAAAACTTAATATTGGAAAGATAAAAATATCGAGACTTCCTTTGTTCTTCAAGTGATTTTTCGAGTTGCCTACAATAACAAACAATATATAAGGATTATTTGAATTTCTGATTTAATGCTAAATAATCAATTTGTTATGACAAATGTTTTCATTTTTCCATTACATAATGATTAGTATTGCTAATCATAAAGTCACGTTGAATAATATTTTATTATACTTTTTTTAAAAACTATTTATTTATATTATTTGATTCATTAGTTTTTTTTTTATTATTAAAATTAGTTAGTTATTTTTATGGCATAACCCCTTAAAATTACGTACAGAACTGCTATAATAATAATTTCAATATTTTTTTTATCTAATGAATTGTAATAATTTGATAATATCACAAAATTTACATTATTGCAGTCACTATAAAGATTAATATGTAAGTTAAATAGTTTATATTTATATCACTTATTTTTTACTAATGATGAAATTTATAAAATGTGATATGCTCATTATCTAACTTATAATTTTAAGTACTACACATACATGTAACATATAAAAATTTATTTGTATATTTACATGTTCATATGATCGAATACTATTGCATGGTATCGTTGCAATTTGCAACTACTATTTTTTTTGGTACAAATTAAGAAAGGAGGCTAAAGCCTAAGACCATCAGATAGTTATATGCCGTGGGTGAGCAATGGCAATAACGCCTTCTTGTAGCCACAGTTTAACCACTAATGGCGGATCATATAATCTTTGACAACCACTAGGACAGTAATGAGTTAGAAAGTTAGCTTCTCTGTAGCAATGAATTACTTTAGCCTCCCATTCCCAACTAAGCAATTCCCGTGTGGCTTGAACTAAACTACCATGCACTCCAAGATTTGCCACTAAGTTCCTATTCGCCATCGTCACCATACTAGTATTATCTACCTTTATAATAATCTTGCGACACTCCAAGTCCCAGGCTAATAACAGACGTTGAAAGAGGCCCCATAATTATGCTCTTGCAAAGAACAATACCCGATATTCATCGCGAATTTCCCAAATCAATGTCCATTTGCATCACGCATCAATCCCCCTACTGACGCCATTCCGGACGAGTTCAAATAGGATCCATTCGTGTTAATTTTGACAAACCCAACTCCAGTCTCCAAGGACTTGCCAACAAATGAATTGGATTCCACGTCCCACACCGAGTTCTCCCAAGTGTCTCTCGGCAGAAGTTGCTAGTATTTCTGTATTTGCAACTACTATTTTGATTAGATGACTACATTTGATCATTATCATTATAGTAGCATCTATCTTATGCTGCAACGCTGATGCGATTCAATGTAACACAAGCAATACAGTTTATTAAAATTATTTACAACAATTATAAGACTAACAAGTAACAAGTAACTAATAACAATTATTAGTTTATTATTATATTACACACTACAGAGTAACTAAATCGAGAATCGGTGACGGAAACGCACCAAAGTCCCAAAGCCGGTAAACATGCAAACATCCCGCGATTTTATTCGGCTGAGAAAGTCAAATATTCACCGGCCATCTTCTATTCACTAAAACAGCCCTCCCCATATATAGGTATAACCCGACCCAGACAATATGGGATGTAGAAAATTTTCATTTTTGTATGTTGGGTTCTAATTTATCTAAATGAATTTATTGAAAAGGAAAATTAAAGAGAGGAGTTTTATATTATTTAATATTTGTTCCATTTCACTTTTCTCTCTACAATCAAACTAATATAATTAAATATTATTTAAAAAATTATTATTATTATTTATTTAAATATTTAAAATTCTTAATTCATTAATATAATTATAACAACTAATTTTGTTAATAATATCTTATTATGTTATATCACATAATTTTCAATCATTACATTTTTTATATCCTATTTATTTATAATTACATCTTCATTTCACTTTTTTCTAATAATAATAATTTTCTAATGATTTCATATTATCATATATCCACCTTCTCATCAGCCAATCCAAAGCAACAGTTCCATATGAAAAGACAAATTTACCCCACCGATACTCTTAAACTACACAAGCGGGACTCTGCTCGCATCACCGTACCACCACCATGCCGTCACCCATCAGACAGCCGCAGGTGCCCGAACCTTTCAACTCCATTTTTCTGTCAAATTTCTACAAACATTTCTTAATTATTTAATGCAACATTGCGATTTAAGTTAATCAACCACACCAACTAAAAGAAACAAAACAGAAAAATATAAAATGTAAAAGATGCCTCAGGCCCAGCTCAAGAGCAGTGCCCACCACCATCTCTCTCTCACTTTCCCTTTCCCAATGCTTTTCTTTTTCTCCACCCGATATACCATTTGTATTTTCTTGCACACTTTTCTGTTTGCTTCTAACCCCTCTCTCTCTCTTTCCCTGGAAAACAAAAACCAAGGGGACCCATTCACTTGCGCAGTGACCAGATTCTCTCCTTGCCACGAAAGTCTGTATTTTTTTTTTTCGGTTCTCTTTCTCTCAACCCCACCCCAAACCCATGTTCTTTCCCTAACTCGTTTCTCGTTTTGCGCAAGATTTGTGTTTCCGTTGATATTTTGATAATCGAAGGGTTTGATTTGTGGTGAGAAGGGAATGTCGCCGGAAGCGGCGACCGCAGCCGCAGATGCGGCCGAATATTCCTTCGCGCTGGAGTATCACGGCCCGCCGGTGACCCGTGAGCTGCCGCGGGCCGTGCCCATCAATGTGGATCGGATCCCTGTGGCTGCCGTCGTTTCGCCTCGGCCGTATACAGACAGCTTTTCGCTGCCCGTCGTACAGCCGATTTCTGCTAAGGACATAATCGGCAAAAAGCTATCCAAGGATTTGAAATTAAGTTCATCCTCGTCGGAGTTACTGACTGTCTCCCCAACGTCGGTGATTACGTTCGATTCGCGGAATAATGAGGCTAGCGAGGGCTCCTACAGTAAAGAACTAGGTTTAGGGACCGAGACCAGTGTTTCGCCTAGCTCGATTCACGAAAGGAATCCCGAAAATTGCCTCAATAATGATGCTTGCGCTTCATCCGGCGAGCTCACTAGTGATTTCGAGTGCTGTAATCGTGATGGTGGGCTGGATACTAGTCGTGACCTCTCGTGTGAGTTCATAGGTGGGATCGAGAGCTCGGGGGCTTTAGGCTCTTCCTATAGCTTCGAGAAATCAGGGGAATTTTCAGGGAGTTTGCGAAAATCGAGGCTGTCCATTGGTTACAAAGAGAGCATGGACTTTAACGAATCTAACCGAACGGATTGGGAATCCAACAATTCAGTCTTGAGCGTGGATTACCTGTCATCTAGGATTTCTTCTTCTAAGTTTGGGGAGAAGAATCGCGAATCTAATTGTGACGCGAGGCGGGCCCCAGCGGTGACTTTCTGTGACATCGAATCTGATGATGAGAACACCATTGATGAGTTTACTCGTGTGGTGGAGCCTGAGGTTGTTCGGGCGAGAAAAGAACCTGCGGTTAGGGTCAAGAAAGGTGCATGTTATCGGTGCTTGAAAGGGAATAGGTTCACAGAGAAGGAGGTTTGCATGGTTTGTGATGCTAAGTACTGCAGTAATTGTGTGCTTAGAGCAATGGGGTCTATGCCCGAGGGCAGGAAGTGTGTGACTTGCATCGGGTACCCTATTGACGAGTCAAAGAGGGCTTATTTAGGAAAATGCTCTAGGATGCTCAAGCGGTTATTGAATGATTTGGAGGTTAAGCAAATAATGAAGGCCGAAAAATTGTGTGAAATGAATCAGTTGCCTCCCGAGTATATCTGTGTGAACGGTAGGCCTCTTTATCCCGAGGAGTTGATTGTGCTACAAAGCTGCTCTAATCCACCAAAGAAGCTGAAGCCGGGGAATTATTGGTATGACAAAGTATCGGGTCTATGGGGAAAGGTGAATGACGATAAGAGCTCAACTGTTTTTATTTCAGTGTTCTTTTGGTTTTAGTTTTATCTGTTTGCCTTGTAGTTAAAAAATTGCACTGAATTTCTCAGGAGGGACAGAAGCCTTCTCAAATAATTAGCCCGCATCTCAATGTTGGGGCTCCTATTAAGCCAGATGCTAGCAATGGGAATACACAAGTTTATATAAATGGCCGGGAGATCACAAAAGTGGAATTGCGTATGTTAAAGGTTAGCATTTGGTTTCATCAGCATACATCTGAGAGTGTTGTCTTGTGTTTTTTACCCTTTTCCTTTGTTAAAATTTTCGGGTTAAAATTTCTGTTTTTGGATTTTATAGTTAGCTGGAGTCCAGTGTGCTGGGAATCCACATTTTTGGGTGAATGAAGATGGTTCGTACCAAGAGGAGGGACAGAAAAATACAAAAGGGTATATCTGGGGCAAGGTTCGACTTCTTTCAAATTCCTAAAGACTTTGTTCCCTTTAACAGACACATGAAAACAATATAAAGAAATATTATTTTGAGTTTGTTTACCTTTAGTCTGTTATTATCTTGTATCCTACCTTATTGATGTTGCTGTCCAGACTGGAACAAAGCTGCTTTGTGCTGTACTCTCTCTTCCAGTTCCTTCAAAGTCATCTCAACCGTTTGGAGAGCAAGTTACTAGCATGAGTAGCAGGAGTATGCCTGAGTATCTTGAACAGCAAACAATTCAGAAACTTCTCTTGATAGGATATAGTGGATCTGGGACAAGTACAATATTTAAACAGGTAACTTCTAATTGTTTTCCTGAGAACATTTGGAACATGTTTACCAGAGTTATTGTTAATAAATCGTATTAGGTTTCACATTAAGGTCTTTAATGATTTTTGGAGCCATGTGATGCTGTAGCATTTATTTAGATAAGAAAGTATATTTTGGTTTGATTGGAATCTTTTGCCATTTATCTCAAATGCTATGTTGGCCATATTTTAACATCTTACCAAGTCTGATATTGATGGATCAGGCCAAAATTCTTTACAAAGATGCACCTTTCTCAGAGGATGAGCGCGAGCACATTAAATTAGTTATCCAAAGCCATCTGTATAGTTACATTGGAATACTTCTTGAAGCTCGTGAGCGATTTGAAGAAGAAAGTTTGCAGACATTGAGGCAAAATCGGTCTTCCGATAGTTCTAATTCAGGTATAGAGTTCCTCTGAACATTCTTTTTTTACTTAATCGTATGGGTTATTTTCAGTTGTAAGTCATCTTTTATTTTGGTTAATAGTAGGGAATGCTGGGAATGGAGAGGAGAATCCTTATTCCATCTCTCCACGTTTGAAGTCATTTTCGGATTGGCTTCTTCGAATTATGGCATCGGGTACTTTGGAGGCAATATTCCCTGCTGCAAGTCGGGAATATGCACCGTTGGTTGAGGAGCTGTTGAGCAGTTCGGCTTTTCGAGCAACTTACAAGCGAAGAAGTGAACTGGATACTCTTCCCAGTGTTGCAAGCTATTTCCTTGATCAGGTGAGATGATTATTCCTGCTTTTACATGTTTTCCTTGCATATTAGATTGATTACGAAGATTTACTGTTACACGGACCATATTTTAGGGAATAAGGTTAATAGTTAATTTTACGAGTAAATCGATTAAGAATAAGTGGATTCTCAGGTTGAGAGTAATAGGGTCTGACAGAAACTACGTTTAGCAAAACAGTCCTTTCTATGTGAAAATCTCAAGTTTGGTCTTGTAGAATCTTCGATTTGCAAAATAACCGCATAGCTATGTGAAAATTTTACTCTGTTGTAATTTTTTACCATCAATCATGTGACTGGCTTATGCAACATCCTACTTTTGGTGAAAATAGGATCAAAATCCTAATATCTTATATAGTTGGAGGGTTTTTTTGTTAATTGTGTAATTTTGAGGGCCAACATTGAGATATAGTTAGAATATTTTGCAAATAGTTCATTTTACAAGACTCTTTTGCTACCATTATGAAGTGGCAGGACCAAAGTTTGTATTTTGCTATTAATCTGGTTCGAAATTTCGTAAATATTCACTTACTTTTTAACTAAACGTCCTGATAACTTTTGCTTGGCCCCTGCGTAGGCTGTTGAGGTATTGAAACAGGATTACAGACCATCTGATTTGGATATCCTCTATGCCGAGCGTGTTACTTCATCCAATGGACTTTCATGCGTGGAATTCTCATTCCCCGACACAGCATATGATGATAATGTTGACAGCGGGACTTTGCGTGATTCCCAGCTCAGGTAATGCAATCGTTTCATTTTTACTAAAGTTCATTTTTACTAAAAAATAGCATTAAGGGTTTTCACCTATGTTTTTATGAACTTCAATTCATCTTGTTAAATCTATATATTAGGGAACATCTAAAAGGAAACTGCCGGACCATCTAAAAAATACTTGGAATAATTTAATTTCAACTTAGTTTATGAAGGAAATAATTATTTAATGCTCTTTTTTTCCTTCTTTTTCTTTTTCTCCTTTTTTTTTTTGGCTCAACTGGTCATAGGTATCAGCTGGTTAGGCTACAAGCCAAAGGATTTGGAGAAAACTGCAAGTGGCTTCAGATGCTTGAAGATGTCCGAATAGTCATCTTCTGCGTCTCCTTGACCGATTATGACCAAATTGACCTCGACACATATGGCAACCCACAGAATAAGATGCTCTCGAGCAGAAAGTTCTTCGAGAACATAGTGACTCACCCGACTTTTGGTCAAGTGGATTGTCTTCTCCTCTTAAACAAATTCGACTCGTTCGAGGACAAAATCGAGCATGTCCCCTTGAGCAAGTGTGAATGGTTCGACGATTTCCATCCCGTGATCAGCCGTAACCGGAGCAGTAGTAGCGCGAATCATCCGACCCTTGGGCAGTTGGGCTTTCATTATATTGCTGTTAAGTTCAAAAGGCTCTATTCGGGCCTAACGGGCCGGAAACTTTATGTGTCGCTCGTGAAGGGTCTTGAGCCCAATAGTGTGGATGGGGCACTTAAGTATGCAAGGGAGATTCTGAATTGGGATGATGAGGGGTTCAACTTAGGCTTGAGTGAAAACTCGTTTTATAGTACAGAGGCAAGCTCGAACTCTCACTGAGATGTGGGGCCCACATTTTTTGTACAGAAGTCGTGTGTGAATGAGGAAAGAAAAGGAAAAGACTGATTAGTTGTTGTGTTGACATATGTTCTCTGTTCTTTGATGTATAATCAAATTGTGTATTGTGTTATGTAGTTGGGTTCTTGCTAATGGATTGAGAAGTAGCTGATGTTATTTGATAGTGTATCAGTGTATGGCATTTTATGGGAATTGCAGTGTTACTGTTTTCTCTTTTTCTCTGTTAAGTGTGTGGTATAATATATAGGCACATCTGTAAGAGGAATTTAAGATATAGGATGATGTTAAGATGGTAATGCCATCGTTTTAAATGGTTTTATCTTAAGTTGTGTAGCCTGGCAATGGAGAGTTATGGGCACCCAAGAGATTGTCATTTTCAAAACTTTATATAGGCACAACGAGGTTTTGTGAAATTTCTATGTCATTTTTTTCGATGTTTTGATTATGCAGGAAAAAATAATTAAATTATTCTTTTATATATAACTCCAATAAAAACTGTCACGTAACTTTTGCTTAGCTATCTATATCAACTAAAAGATCTAATGACTTTAATTGAATTGAGAGAACCATTCTCCTGTATTCTTTTCCATTATTACATATTTTTTTTTTATATTCTCCTAGTTTATATTACAAATACATATTATATTATTTCTAAGTTTTATTGGGACATAATTAAAATTTTATAAAAATAATCACATATATATTTTATTAAAACTAATATTAAAACAATATTTATAATAAAACCAAGACTATGCTTGGTATTAATTTGTATTAAAATTTAAAGTAATGAGAATAACATGCGAATAATTGTATGGAGTAAAATATAACCAATGAAGACGAAAACTATTGTTTCCTATACTTTGAATTAAGTAATATTCAAACTATAATAGAATAAGGATCAGAGCCAAGCCATACCATAGGATAATTTACTATCGGAGATGACCTAAGCCATATCGTTTACAATCCTAACTTACTAAGGCGCATGCAATGGATTGGATTAACCCTACCGACAAATCTACACATATTTTCTTTATTTAAACAACTAGCTTCAATTAGAAACAAACATGGTCCTAGAATCGGCAGCTTGAGGCCTACTACGATTTATCTTCGGATTGTGTGGAAAAAATTACTTTTTTAAAGAATAATTGGATCCGCGGGCTCGGCCCTGACCCGAAGGATCCAAACCTGAACCAAAGACTGGTGGATTCAAGAACCGGACCGGAGCCTCCATATCCATGAGGACCATGATATGAACAAATTCCGGTTCACAGTTTATGATCGGCCTGCGAGTGAGGACAGAAACCACCGGGTCGGGCCAGTTGGGCAGACGGTGAAAAGACTTGAATAGGGGAGAGCTGACGGATGTGGCTAGCTAGTTAGTCAACTTTCAGAATTTCGCAACAATTTTCTCAAAGAAATCTATGAATTTCTTTATTCATTCATCGCCAATTCGTCATCTTCATCCCCAAAGCTTAAAATCCCCAAAGCTTAACGAAAATGACGCAGATATACGACAACTGGGAAAGGCTCGTTGCCGCCACTCTCAAGCGAGATCAGATATGGCAGCTCTGCCACGCTCACTCCAGGGAACCCAGCGTCGCCTCTTCCTACTCTTCCGAATTCAGCAGTCTCCCTTCTCCACTTGTCACTTTCCCCCACGGCGCGTTTCATGAGGAGATCTTCGTGAACGGCGAGCGTCTTTCACCGGCGGAGCTGCTGATTTTGAGGAGCTGCCGGCGCCCGCCTAAGAAGCTGAAATCGGGACATTATTGGTACGACAAACACTCGGGTTTTTGGGGGAAGGTGAGGTACGATGTTTGACTTTACTCTTTTGCCACTTTATGATTGATGTGTGCATTCATATGTGGCTGATGGAATTTCACAGCAAGGGAAGATGCCTTCACAAATTATCAGCCCGCATTTGATTGTCGGGGGTGCCCTCAGCGAGCGTGCTAGTGAAGGCAATACGGACGTTTACGTAAATGGCCGAGAGATCACCAAAATGGAGAGGAGACTGTGGGAGGTGTGATCTTTTAGCTTGCCTATGTGCTTTTCAGAAAATTCTTCTTATGTGCTTGTTCTAATTTTGTTCGTGTTATTGTGTATCAACTTAGTAGGTGGCAGGTGGCCAATGTAGTCGAGACACACATATTTGGTTGTATGAAGATGGACTGTACCAATATGAGGCACATACTAAGTGCAAGTCTTTTTGGGACACGGTTGGTTACTTGGTTTCCTATTGGAATTTGGAGTTAGTTTAATTTTGCTGTTATTTGCTCACTTTGAGGCTCACTTTGCTTTTCAGACTGGAATGAAGCTGCTTTGTTACTTAATCTCTTACCCATTCCCTCATAAACCTCATTATGTGTCCGGAGAGCAATCTATGCCTGATCGCATGGAGCAAAATGAGCACCGGCATCTTCTTTTGATTGGAGTTAATGGGTCTGGGACAAATACCATCTTTAACCAGGTAGATAGCTTTGTGAAATTTCTTTAGGTACTGGTTGGTGTTAGTTAAAGCTACTTGCAAGACTACTGCTTATGCAGTTTTTCTTCTGAGTGTGGAATGCAATAAGTTATCTTCGTATTTTGAGAGATTAATAGGTCTTTCACACTGATAGGTATTTTCTCGATGAGCTGTCATATTTAACATAGATGACAAAAATTTTCAGGCCAAAGTTCTCTACAAAGATGAACTAGTCCTGGAGGATGAGCTTGAACACACCAAATTATTGATACAAAGAAATACATGTCACTATATTTACCTACTTCTTGTTGCACGCGAAAAATTTTTAGAAGAAGATTTGAATGAACTAAGGAAACATCAATCTTCCAATGAATCCCTTTTTACAGGTACTTTCATAATGCTTGCCGAGTTTTCTATTCTCATTTGGCTTTGGATTGTTGACTCGTACTTGTTGTAGCTTGGGTTTACTTTGCTATCCATTTTTGATCCATTCAACAGCAATTCTCAATGTCCTTAAAGAAGTCTTTGTATAAATATTGCAATGTCTATAATCTCACGTTGTTTTTCTTTTTGCGTGACCGTTTCCTTATTTTTATGCCTTTGGTTTATTATTTTTTAGCATGTTCGAGTTAGATCAAATGTGCAGTTTCCTATGTTTTAGTATAGTTTTCTAAAGTAAATGAGTAGTTCCCCAAGTTTGGGGTATTTGTGGACTTTTTAAGAGTTTAACAATGAGTAGTTCCCCAAATTATATAATATTAAAGTTGACATAAAATCTATAAACAAGACACGTCTAATGTTACAATTCGTTTCAGTACGACTGCGATATGAGATGGTTCGGTCCGGTCCTAGGTACGGATATTTGTGAAAAATCTCCAGAACCTTACCATATATTTTTTGGTTTGGTTTGGTTTGGTTTGATTCAGAGTAATTTTGGTTCAGTTTTTTGAACGGCTCGGAATTCTTTGAGTTCCATGCTCAGCCCTCAATCACACACTCACAGCTTGTTTGCTACTCTGCTTCACTTTTTGGTTGTGCGATTAGATTGAGGAACAAGTATGTAAGTCAATAGAGATGACTAAATCCAAATGTCACATAAGTGCTTTAATAGTAATTGTCTCCATGTAGGTTTGCTTGCTTCTGAAAATGCTTCCGCGGTTCCACCCATCTATAAAAACTCTCTACAGCAGTGTGTATATACTTAGTTTATTCACTATTAAATTATCCAGTACTGATTCATGTGATAGCTACCTTCAGGTAGAAAACCAAGCTCTTGAATTTCGAGAACTTGTGCTTTAGGTTAAGCCATCATAAGTAGGAATGACTAAGGTTTGTGATGGGTGCCATAATGGAACTGTGAGTCTGTGAACAGATAGTAATGCCTGCATCCCTGGGTATGGTCCCGGAAATAATATGGTATGCAACAGAATGCAATCAACTTTGTTAGTATAATCTAAGTTGCTTGAAAATAAGATTGTTACTTTGAAAATTGTT